CCCCAAAACCCCAAAACCCCAAAACCCCAAAACCCCTCTGTGAACAATGGGTGCTGAAATATATCTTAATCCAGTACTAAATAGACATAGCTGTAGGCTCCAATGGTAAGGACGAAGAGGATCAAGCATGTATATAGCTGCATTCTAGCAACCCATTGGTCATGCTCCTTGATTTCCTTCAACTTTTGTTCAGCCTCAGCGTTCATTTTGTTAACCTTTTCTTGAATTTTTCTGTTTTTAGTCTCAAATGCTTCAACTCTGAAGATCTTATCCTTCCTCTGTTGCTCTGAGATGTACTCTAGCCTCTCAATTTTGGGGTTAAAATTGAGGAGGCTTCTTCATCTCCTTTGAACAGAGTGGTCTTGCTCCCAGATTAAGGCATGATCACTGTACTGAAGCAGGGAGGACTGGAGGTATATTCTTTGTGGAAATAGTACCGAGATACTATGCAACCGTGGAGCATTCTCTTCTGTGATCAGACATGGATCTATGTTACACTGTGATTTCTCTGATTCATCCTTCATTAACTGTATTCTAGCATCCAAAGATCTCTTGATATCTAAAGTCATTGCCTTTGTCAGGTCCAAAGCAGTCCAATCAAGGTTAAGGTAGATTTTAGAATGAACACACCCACTAAAAGTGATAGTTTCTTTCTTAGGAGAAACTTCAGGATTAAGAATTGTCTTCACACGTGGAGTCATCAGCTCTATGTTCATAAAATCTATGTCTTCCTCCAAGTTATAGGTTTCATCTGTGATTGCTCCAAAAGTCTTTGAATCTTCTGTTGCTCTGACTCAGTGTTTACTCTGAACAAAATAGATAGAGTTTTGAATCAGTTCCTCTATTTGATCAATAGTCATCTTGACTATTTCAGCAAAATCAAGACCAACAGGTTTATTCTCTGGGTTTGGTTTAGATTTTTCTCCTACATTCTCTCTAATTCTATAGAGAAATTCATGTCTGAAGATAATATTGATTTCTCTAAGGATACCATAAGCTCTGTCATCGTAATGTACTTTGACATTACTCTGGAGGTCAACTTCCCACTGCTCATCTAAATAAAACCCTAGGAGATCTTTATGGCCTTTTACTTGGGCACAGCAAAGAGTTTGATTTCGATCAAGGGAGAATCTTGTTCGGAGCTCTTTTATGAGCCCACTAATCTTGCTGATGTCTTCCAGTTGTGAACAGTAAACATAAATTCCAAGTATATCAATCCCTGCTGGTGCCATTTCGACAATTCTGGCAACATGTTCAATGAACCACTCATGATAGGTGACTTCATCAACTGTGAAATCAAGAAGTTCAGGAAGTTCAAGATCTCTAAATACGTCATCTTCTTCAGCATTGCCTAATCTTTTATTTTGTTCGACTTCTTCAAGCTCAATTTCTGGGTCTGGAGTAAGGATGAAATTTAAGATGGATTTAGTGTTGCTCTTTTGAGAGCTAAAACCAAGCACAATTCCAGTACGACACCTAAACTCCTCAGAAGTCATAGAAGAAGCTAGCTTCTCTCAGAGACTTCTAGAGGTGGTTATTGAATAAGTAGGAGCAGAAGTGAAGGTCTCTGGGTCTTTTTGGAGGTTATTTGAATTCATTTTATATATTCTGCTATTATGTATCAATAAATTTTTATCATTCTGGGGTTTTGGGGTTTTGGGGTTTTGGGGTTTTGGGGTTTTGGGG